TCATCATCATCATCACCATCATCATCATCATCATTACCATCATCATCATCATCATTGCCATCATTATATTATTATTATTGTTTACAAGATTTTGGTACAAGATTGCTGAATGAGGTGAGGAAATTGGCCGTCAAAGATATTAAAATTAAGATTTATGCACCACAAGAAAGAAAATATAGTACATGGATAGATGATGAATCTATATTAGTAGCTCAAGAAGGTAATACAAACCCCCCAAATAATCGTATCATTATTGATAACATATTAACATATTTATAAATTTGTTTAGATGTGGGTTTTCAGCTGAAGAAAATCCACAACATTAACCATAATTTATTACCATTTGATTTACTATTTATTTACTATATATATATTTATAATTTATTTTATGATTCCTTCTTCTTCCTTCTGTAACATTTAAACAATAAACTGTATGAATATATTTATATTGAATTTTTTCTTTGATTTTCCTTTTTTTTATTTTTGAAGTTAGCTGTTTTAGGAATGGTCATTTCCACATTATGCATTTTAATATTGTATTTGTCAAATGATTTAAAAAAATATCTATATATGAAAATCACAAAGGATTTTGCAAATAAAAGCATTATATAAAAAAGATCATCATTATCATGATTGTTTAAGATTCAACATTAATAATGTTCTAGAGCAAATTTATTTATTGATCTACAAACTCAGCTCCAAATACCGTAAAGTCTCGAAAGATAGAATAAACAGTTGTAAAAAGGGGCGCCATCTTTTTAGAGGCTTGACAATTCTATGAATGGAATGGATTAGAATTTAAATTACGTGTAATGGAAAAAACATGTTGTGTCTTATTAGTGTTTAAAAAGTACAATGATTGTTTTGAATAAAAATTTTTTTTTTTTAAAGATAATGAATATTTTTTTGGAAATAATTAAAACTCATAAAGAAGATGTTGGATAAATATTAATAATGGTAATAACAATGGCATGTAATAATGATATATATATATATTAAAAAGATTACATGTTAATTAATTATGTGCAGCAAAATTATTGCAAAGAATTTTCCGAATGTTCCAAAATTGTCATTTATTGGTAAAAATTTTTATTCCTACAAAAACAATGGACAATTAGTAAGAAA